TACCGCAGTAAGCCACACGGTGTGGCCCACACCACTAGGAACATATAATTCGAGGAGGTGCTGGACCAGTTCATTCGCAAAGACACTCTAGGAGACCAGTACCAGCGCACCACTCCACTATTGCTCACAGAAAAGGTCACTGACTGTTTGGATATCCTTGGTGACGTGGATTACTGAAAAGGAAGTTCCTTTGAGGAACTCACCGAAATAATTGAGAATTTGCCCAATGGCAAAGTTTTGGCTATGATCAAGTCAAGGACATGGATATACAGTGGCTATGGACAAACCAAAGCACAAGGACAATGATATAGAAAGTAGCACATCGACCCAAGGAGAAAAGATGGAGACCGATCTCACTACTGACCTGTGACCTCAAAAATAATCGAGAAAGTCATTGCCAACAGACAGAAAGCAGTAACAACCCTAGCGTCTGTCCATGGCTTCCTCCCTCAGGAGGGTACAACCACTGCATTACGCAGGGTTATGGGTGGAGACCTCAATAACATTACGAATGAAGGAGGCTACTCGCTGCTAGTGACATATGACATATCAGCCGCATCTGATAGTGCGAACCACAGCAGTGTGGTGAGGGCAGTAGTATGAGAAACCCAGCCTTTGGACAATTGATCGCCTCCCACTTACACAACCAAACAACATACCTCGATGGTAGGAAGAGAACCCGCAAACCGGCATAGAAAGGGTACTCCCCGTAAGGAAGTACCACAAGGGAGCTCATTGGGCCCCTTGCATGTGCAGTGCACATTGTGCACTCATCAGCTTCGAACTTGCCAGAGATCTAGGAGCCTTGACTATTGCTGACGCAGAGATCATTCCAGCGATCTGTGCGAATGATTCTGCTATCAGGGTAGATCTATACACTGATGACAATAGACCACTGATTAGATGTCTGTAGGCAGTTGAAGGTACTATCCAGACCTGAGGCCCAGGCGCTGGGCCAATGAAGATAGCCTGGTATTAGACCAGGATAAATTCGAGGTCTTCATCACGAACCGACAATCCAGGGAACAGTTCATCAATGCCACGGGTGATGAGGACGGTTTTAAGCACATGGCCCTAAAGGGCAAAGCCCTAATCAGGTGGCTGGGACCCTACAATGTAGGGCCTACATTGGCCACGACTGGAAAAATGATATATGGAAGGCCTTTGACAATCTCCGACGAGGTATAATGAAGCTCAGGAGGCTACAAAAAAGGAGATGGGGTATCAACACCGAGAGCTCCTTGGAGCTGTGGCGAACCGTCATACTACCCTGTTTCACTTACTCCGAGTAAGTTACTCGAGCGAATTGTGGTCAATTGGATCAAAATTTGGATGGTATGAAAGACGAGCAGTGGTCCATGAGGCCAAGTCCGCCAGATTCATCTCTGCTGCTGAACCTTCATCCTCTTACGATCTACTCTCTGTAATGCTTGCTACAGTGATACCCACCATAACAGTTGACTGTCTGAGCAGAGTGGTAATTGACAACGTCGCCAAGAAGGAATTAAAGGCTCTGCGGAGCTTGAGACTGAACACGAACTTGAAGTATGAACCAATAGTGGAACGCCAGGTCCGGTGGATGCCTCTTAATGTAGAGGTATCACTGAGCAATGAAGGTGAACCCATACATAACGACCAAGACATGAACATCTACACCAACGGGAGCTTAAACGACAAGGCACTCGTCGGCGCACGTGTCGGTTGTTCAGCCGTTTGGGTCCAAAAATCTGATGAAGGAGCATGCTCGATAAGGAAAGCGGGTGCATACGAGCCAATGACTATATGGTAATATATCAAGCTGAGCTAGTAGGGGTTTTGGCAACGATGTCTCTGTACAAGGAGAAGGGCTGCCATGATAACAACATCAAGAATATTTCTATACGTGGACTCACAATCTGTCCTGAAGACCATCAGCAGTGGATCCAGAAGAATCCACCTTCTCCGAGGCATACGGGGTTTTATACAGTAGAGCAATGCATATATGGCTACCGCCGGGCGGACCATCACAATATGCTTCAGATGGATGAAAGGCCACGATGGAATATTCGGCAATGAAAAAAGTGCGGATTGCTATGCGAAGATAGCAGCCGCACTTCCAACAGGACTTCGGGGGCTGCTACTTCCAGGAGAGGACTAACATCAGGGCCGGAACAGTTTAAGAAGATTGCGAAGACGGTATTGAGGTGGAGTGTGAAGGATAGGAGGATAATAACAGACTCATTAACTGGCCATCAGCCTACAAGAGTCTACATTAGTAGAATTAGCGGTTATAACCTCACACACAGGGTGTGACACACTGCAGATACTGTTTTCCTTAGCGAGAGACGATGGCGCACTTCTTCGAGTGCCAGGAACCCTATGTGGTACAGATACGCAGGAGGATCCTAGATCCGATCTACGCTCGCCAGCATGCTGGGATGAAAGACGGCTCGGGCTATCGTACAGCCATTCGGTCCATAGCAGCACTCCGCTACCCGACCGTTCGGCTCCACCGGCCACCCCGAGGGAGTCTCCCACGGAGTGGCCGGTGGAGGCTCCATCAGGGAGCTGAGGACCGATGAGAATGTGACCCACGCCGATCGCCGTAGGAGAAGAGTCTTCTCAGAAGACCGGATATTGGCAGACACCACAGTAATATCACAACCTAGCCTCCATGGCAAGGATCATATACGGGTGTATTAGATGAACTCCGAATAGGCTGATGGGCAATGTTCTACGTTATGACTTGAAGTGGCTGGTTGCCTCTCACGTTGAAGGTATAGTAGATGAAGTGATTCAGAGTGTTTACGACGAGCTCGATTTGGCTCTAGATGTCACTAGAGGGAGATACTTGACTAACCTAGGAGATGCACCCAAAGAGTGGAGACATATCAATATCCTTGAGTATCCTTCAGAGTACTGCTTATGGAACTGGAGAATGAATAATATGTTATGAGGCCCAACAACGGGTCCGACATAGTGTGACGAAGAAGACGGCACTCCGATTGATTGTGCCCTTAGATGTCCCAAGAACACTTGGCCTTCATGGATTGATCCACAAGGCATCCTAGGTCAATTCAGTGTTTTTATTTACAATTTCTACTCACTTACTTATGCCTACACAACCAGCTGCAGTAATTAGTCAAATTCTATGAACAATTGTACTGGAGTTCACACAAAGATGGTTCATCGCTGTAGACTGTAGTAATACAAAGTTGCCAAAAATGAACACTTT